GTTCATAAGATGTACAACTTTACATCTCAGCTTCATCCTAATTTCATATATATTCAAATTATAGTGATAAGAGCCTGAAGCATGTCTTCTTTAGAAATTTTCCAGGACAAGGATTGAGAAGAAAACATATTTCCTTCTGATTAGTAAAAACTAAACAAAAGTCTAGAAAATAGAAACTACTGAATAGAATTCACACCAAGATGTTCCTGTGGGTGAGAGGCAAAGAATGTTCCAAATAGTTGGAATTGAATCATACTCACCAGCCATCTAGGTGACTCAGGAATGAAGAATAGACCAAAAAGTTGTACAATACATGGAATAGTTCCTGACACGAAATTGAAATCAAACAGAATCATAGTATTAGGGCACCTTCAAATTGCAGTGAAGATCCAGTAAAAGGAGATAGAATTACCAATTAGAGCCAAAGTCCTCCAGGTTACAAAAGCTCCTATAAGATATGATATTGATGCTCCACAACATATCATCAACTGCAGACTCAGTTGTAAATAGACAGGCAAGTACGGATATTACCAATTTCTGATTATAATGCTTTATCCATACCTGATGAACGGTAGTAAATCCTCCTCGAATATCCTTGGGAGTGACTTCAGCAATATATATCGGTACCTATCATCATTTGCAATGCATAGTTTTCATCCAAAGCATGGATAAGTAATCTAATAAGAGAGAAAATCCCTTGAAAAACATTACCACATAGGAAAGGAGACCCATTCCGTATCCTATCAATAGTCGCCCAAGGTCAAGCAACCAAGCGACCTGATAAGTGTTGGGCAATTAGCATTGTGAATCAACATTTATGTTAGAGCAAAAGAAGATAAGAATATCACAAGATGATCTCATTAATGAAAAAAAAAAAAAAATGGTGAACATGGGAAATGAAAACACCTTTGATAGTGCTATTGCAACCCATCCTATTAAGCAGAATATCTCTGAGAAACCCATTGTCTGCACCAAAATGGTAATAGAAAAAAGCAACATTTAGAAATTCACCACTTGAAGAGCTTTATAGAATTGACCATTTAGAATAGGTCTCGAATATTTTAGGGGAAAACTTACACATCTTCGACCTATACAATCTGCTATTTTCCCACTCATCAGTGCACCTACCATTGCGCCAAATGTCAATATTGAACCAAAAATTGAATACTGCAGGATGATTGAAAGAGGAAAAGAGTTAAAATTATAAAGAGGAAAGTTTAAGTAAAAAAAAAAAGAGAATTAAACAGAATAATCAACAAAACATGTTCTACTTCTGGGGCATGAGAACTACGCCATTTATACAGATTTTTTTTTTTTGTGGGGTGCAGGGATAATGTAAAGTACAAATGCTATTGAAAATACATATCAAGCATGAAGTTATCATGGGAAATCAGAGCATTTGCCCACCTCCGTGACAGAGAGGAACAGGTCATTCATGATCCCTGCCTGAGCAGGTGATGAATATCCCACCTGCAAAACCATTCAGCAGTGTTATGGCTCCAATAAAGTAGAATCAGCTTGTTCATTGTACTAAATACAGTGAGTTAAGAGTAATTTCAACAAATACATGGAGAACTATGAGGGAAAAGGTAGCACTTACAGCAGCACCAAAAACATAAGACCCAGAGACTGCAATGATGGTGCTAAGAACAACCACAGATGTTGCTGAGGAAGAAGTTCGACTCTGCCCTTCTCCAGAAACATCAGTACCATGTCCCAGTGAGTTAGGATTTTCCCTAAGAATCAAAGAACTTGATAACTCTCCTTCAGTTCTTTCTCTGCCCATGATTTTTTTTGTCTTTTCAACAATGACCCAGAAAAGATAAGAATAAGATTAATTGATTAAGCAAAACAGTGCTTCTAGGAGTTTTGGGTGTTAGGATAATAATGAACAACAGAACAAAAAGACAACAAGAGGGTTTCATCGTTATTCAAGGGGAAAGACAGCAGACAAGTTAACTGAGTCAGCACCCACATGCCTCTTCTGCTTTTGTTTGTTTCCTAATCTTTCTTCCATTCTTTTGGGGTGAGCTTCCACCTATCGCATATATATTGTCACTATTATTATACCAGGGAGTTGAATTCTATTCTCACTCTCAGAATTTGGCTTTAGATAAACCTATATCTTATAGTTTTTTAATACATATTTTTTTTTAGCAGTTTAACAAACTATCATCCATGCTTACCATTTCCTACAGCACATATCCATAACATATCCAAAGCAGAAACTGAAGGTGAATAAGTTTAAGAGGACAATAATCATTATGCATGCAGACCAATATTATGTTAATTATTGATTTTCTTTTCTATGGTCAGAGAGATAATGATAATGAAAGGAGAAGAAAAGATTAGATAAAAAAGTAGTGGGTGAGAGCAGAAGATTGATTAAGACGTTTATGGTATATTATAATTCTAATAAATCAACCAAAATAAACAACTTTTTTTTTTTTTTTCAAAATTATAAATGGGTATTGTCTTCAACTGTTAAGGTCTACCCAGAATGGTAGCCAAGTTTAGTACTTATTTATGATTTGTTCGTTTTTTTTCTTTACATGAATTAGTTAGATTTTTGGTATTACGAAAATTTAAATTTTATATTTTTAATCAGTAAATACTAATCCGCCAAAAACTTGTTAGAGTTTACAATCTTCTTAATCACTCTCATCACTGCATATGGAAAATTGATTGAATAAAAACAAATGGGTTCATGTCAAAACCAGAAACGAATATCCTAAATTATGATTTCATCTGTGTTTTCAATTTTTACAGAATTTCTTGGGGCATCATTCTTAATCAACACATTGCAAATTGGATGCTTAGAAATCATAAGAGAAAGCAAATACTTACGAAATAGTCAGGAGTAAAGCTAGCAATTCATGAAGATGAAACTAGTACCACTGAAAACAGCTCCCCCACAACCATCGATACCATGGAAAACAGAGGCGCCACCGCCTCCATTTCCACCTGACCATTATGGGTAATACATGGACGTCTCCGGTATTATGAGTAGAAGCACGTCGTCAAGGAAGAGTTCATCGCGCATTTATTCTTGATGACGCTGAAGTGGACCCGAACCTAAAACCAACAGTTTGGACC